GGGGAACTATCTGTCTACCTGTCTGTGTTTCTGTCTCTGTGTCTTGACTGGGATGCTGTGGGGGCAATGGGAGCTCAGCTGTTTAATTCTGTTTAAAAAAATATTATTGATTCTGCCCCCACCTCCAGCCCCCTTGTGAAACGGCAGTGCGCGTGTGAGCATGTACCTCAGGACAGGGCTGCGTGTGACCCAAACTCGTCAAGGTTCAAATACCTTCATGTTAAAGGGGGGGGGGGGTAATAGGTAGGTCATTAAGCAGAGACACAGACACTCCTGAGACTACCCTGTTTGAGAGCTGCATCTCTCACAGACCGGTCAGCCCAGCCACAGTCAGGGAAATGGACTTTCTCAACCACACCTCCAGCATAATAAATCATGGCCGTATAGACAGATGGACGTATACATGCAGACGGAAAGCCACGTGCGCATGCTTGGATTAACCTTCGGATGTCAGTGGCGAGCAGGCCTGAGATAACTACCACGGTTGCTACGGAGACAACTTTAACCCTTTTGTTACAAGGCTCAATCTTGATGTTTTTGTTTTGTGCGCGTTTTCTTTTTGTGACGCTTATTTGAATGTGGCACGAATGTCTGTTGATGTTTTGCTGTAGGGATGTTTTCTCTTGTGCTTTTAAATTTCCTTGATTTTGTAAAACGTTAGAAGAAGCACATCCACAACTTAAACAAGGTTTTATTTGTGTTGTTTTTTTTATTGCCAAGGTAGCGCTGAAGGCCGAGTGAAATGGCAGTTGTTCAGGTTTCAGTCTCCTGCAGTTACATTTCCCGGTTTGGCTTCGTGAGAGTTTGGGGACAGGTCTGAGTTGCCCTTAAGAGGAAGCTGCCATCTTTGATAAAGGCACCTTTGACCCCCCCCCCCCCCCCCTTAAAGTGCCACTTCAGCCCAAGATGACAAGGGTGTTTCTGGAAAGTTCTGTGATACCCTCCACCCTTTCGCCTTTCGATGTGCCAAATGTATGTGTGCAGTTGGCTGCTGACCAGCCACTGCGAGGTTAAAAAGAAAAACTCTGCTGATCAATAGATCAACGCTGTCACCTTTCATGGAGCGTAGTCCCGCCTCGACATGTCAGAGTGCCAGACAGATCTCCATCCAGCCAAACATCACCAGCTACTGAACCGGTACACTTGGTGTGTGTGTGTGTGTGTGTGTGTGTGTGTGTGTGTGTGTGTGTGTG